AATTCTGCAAAATTCACTTTACCATCTTTACAATGTGGTAGAAATTGGTTACAGTAATTCAGGGCTAATTACCTTCCAATCTCTCATGCAGAATTGTTTGGTGTCAGATCATTTAAAAAATTCAGGGCATGTATTACCCACTGTGCAAAGTGGATTCAAGAACATCAAATGTCAATGATATTTTCAGAAATATAAGTCAATGAGATGACTTGGTAAAATGTATGTTTTAACTATGGCCACTTGGGTTTCTGACCTTGTTTTCTGTTTCCTCCTTAACTTCAATGGTTTGAGTCACATCAGCAGTTTTAGATTTCATTAGGAAGTGCTTTCTTTTCCAGCTGTAGTACGTGTCAGCACATCACTGCTTACATTTAAATCCCAAATTTATAATAAAATCTGGTAATATCTCATGAAAAATTTATACAGCTGTTATTTTAAGTATTGTTTTAATTAACTCAGCTCAACTTAAAAATTATATCGTGAATTTTGAAAAGATTTAGAACAGGCTAAAGTGATTTTTTTTTTTACTTTTAAGGTGAATCAGTGTTTGCTAAGCTTACAAGTGCTTTTGTGGCTCTGTTTTATTAGAATAAGTGATGAGAGATACTTATATGTATGGTATGAGTTTTAAAGTCTTATTTGAAACAGACAATTCCCTAGTTTGTGAGGCAGCAAGAATAATTTCGTATGCAATCTCTTAGCTGCCCCCCTTACAAGGAGGAGCTTGAGGCTGAAGAGCAGCAGCACAGGAATCCTGGCTTCACCTGCCCTTGTTCAGGGGACAGCAGACAGCTGTAGAGCATGCTGCCTCCTGCAATTCAGAGGGCCAGACAAAGCCTTCTATTTACTTGTTTTTTCTTTTTGAACATTAGATGTATTGTCATGTTTTCTATAGTTTTAAGAAAGAGTGGATATCTGTCATTAATTAGCCCATGTCACCAGAGACAACAGTAATACAATAAAAGGAAAATATTTCTCAAGATGGTCTCCAGGGACCAGAATTGCTTCACTAAGTACGAGACTTACGTGATCTTAACACAGGCTCATTGTGTTCTCATCACTTTGTAAATGTGTGCCAGGTGACATAGGCTTTATTATCCTGTCAATAAGACAGAAAAATTATTTTATCTGCTTTTATTGAAATTCCTCATAAATCTTAAGTATCTAGAGAGCATTTTAAATTTCATAAGAAGTAGTAAAATCTAAATACATGAGAATAATGGTGATCAGTTTCGTTTGTAAATGTCAACACCATACACATTCACAGGTTGATTTTATTATGGTATTATTTATTTTGTCATACTTTGCCAAATAATGGAATTATAATTAATGGTTAATAATTAAAGCAAACAGTTATCTAGAATCTACCAAGTAGCAGGAATTGTTCTGAGTGTTTTTTGTATGCTAATATGGCTAACCCAGCATCACCCTTTGAAGAAGGTATTAAAATATGAACAGACACAGTGGAATCAGCAAGATCTGCATTTATTCCAAGCTTTGCCTTTCAAAGATTTGGGGAAAATTATCAAATCATTCTGCGCCTTAGTTTTTTAAATCTTTAAAATGGGTCTAGAGTTAAATACTTTGTACATAATAGGTAAGAAATTCACCACACTTTTCTGTTCCAGTGAACTGACTACTAGAAAGAAACACAGCCTTTAATTTTACAAAATAATGCATTTTTCTTAGTATTCTGTGAGATCTTTAATAATATAAAGTGTTTGTAATATAGTAGGTGCTATATATATACATATATACATATATATATATATGCTGAGTAAAAATGAAAACACAACCATATACATGCTAATGCTCACAGAGGCCAGAAAAGGGCATGGGGTCCCCTGAAACTGGAGTTACAGGTAGTTGTGAGCTGTCTATTGTGGGTGCTAGAGATCAAATTCAGATCTTGTACAAGAGTAGCCAGTGTTCTTTGTTCATAGTGCTTAGGTTAAAAAGCATTAACATTATTTGATTACTTTGTCAGTGATGATTAAATCACCTTGAAGAGACAGTCCTTAGGTATAGTCTTTGAGAATTTCCAACTACAGGCCTATGTACAACAAACCATTCCCAGTTGATAAGACACACATTCCCCAACACAAAGGCAATCTTGACAATTTCTAAAGGAGATGAGAATTCTTTTTTTTAATTCCCTAATGGAATTATGGTTGTTTTCATGGGCATTTATAATTCACTTCAATAGTGCATTAAGACCCAAGTCCTAAAACAATTTTTATTTATTGTAGCAGGTACATTTATATGTGCCTGTTAAATTGTTTTGAGTCATTGGTGAGAAATTATAAAAATGTGTATATTTTTGCTTTGTTGTCATTTAAAAATAAAATAGCAACGTCCTTTGCTCCAGAGTGCCTTGCTCCTGTTGCTTTGGTTAATAAATAATGAGTTGCTATGGGAGACGATGATGCTGATTGTTGACTGTCTGCTGGTGATGATGCTAAGGGCTGTGAAATGATAATGAAAAACTCAAATAAAAATTAACTTCTCCCTCCCAGGACTGAAAACTGGACTTTGGGCTTCTATTTCCAACTTTAATATATTCCCCCCATTAAAATGGATTTTAATTTTATAAATCAGGAGATGTAGATTTGGTTTGTTTGTGGGTAAATGAGGCCGCTGCACTAATTTAGTTAAACTATAATTCTTCAATGTCATTTCTTGCCCTATTTGGGCTTTGTTAAAATGGGAATTCTTCCCTATATAGATTGAAAAATTCACAGTTGAAGCAATTACAGTAAGAGCTATTGCATCCTTATTAACCTAATTAAGTAAAGGCTGGTCAGTTTTGACAATCTTTATTCAACTGTTAGTTGGTGGGAATCTAGTTTTGCATCTCTGTGTTTGTTGATGCCCTTTTGAATTTTCTTATCAGCAGAAATAGCCTTTCCAAGGTGATGGTAAATTTCTCACCTCCTGGAGGCTGACATCATCCCATATGCACGTTATATATAGATTTCTTTCATGACCCCAAGTGGCACAATACATTCAGGCTTTATTTGCTCAATAACCTCTTCAGTCTCGGCATCCTGGTTTGAGTAACTGACATTATTTTCACTTTGATAGCTAAACTGCAGAGCCTACCAGTAAGATTCTTGCTGGGAGACATGCCGGGCAATTTTGACAGACTTTATTTTAAAGCACCAAGTTTAGACAAAAGTCTTGAGAGCCGCCTGACTCTTTACCACAATCCCATGTTAGCATGAGCTAGACATGAGAAACATTTAATTTTAGAAAGGTGGGACTAAATAAATGTGGGTATACAATAAATTCCAAAGAGGAATTTATTTACTGCTCTCTTTTCTCCCTCGTCTCTCCCTCCCTCGTCTCTCCTGAAGATTGTCTGCAGTACCCCTATAGCATGTGCAGACCTTCAGCATTTCAGAATTGAGGGGCACCAGATGGACTCACAATGTGAACTTACTGGCCATGATCGGTCTGCCCTTGACCTCCTGCATTTCTCTAGTCCTAGGTTCACTAAGAAGAATCTGAGAAATAGTGAAGCTGTCTACCAAGTCCAGAGGCTGGAAAAGCCTTCAACCTTGGACTTCAAAGTCTAGACTATAATTTGAACAATGAATGTAAGCAGAAAAAAAAGAGAAGGATGATTGTAAGCTAGAATTAGGCACTAATTACAGTTTTTGCTGTGTAGCTGCTGCATCCAGCAGCTTCACTTCTATGTCCCTCAAGTGAACTGGGAGTCCTTAGACTCTTTTCTCTTAGGGAAAGTAGACAGTACATGTCATACCATAAACATACCCAGATATGAGTTGCTAATTCAATTTCTTGATTTCATTTAGAGTAAAAGCCCAGTGAAATAGAAAGCAGAAGTGGAAAGCTATTTGGTTTGTAAATGTATCTCAAGTTATCATAATGCCTGATATGTGCCATAAAGCTTGGGCAACAACACTAGTCAAACCTAATTGAATCAACTTATTTCTACTAATACTTGTGGAATCCTGTCTGTTTCAAACAATGTGGAAATGAGGTTATTTTCATTCATTTATTCAACTGGAGGATTTTACACTAAGAGAATGATTTACTCTTTTTTGACAGCAATTTCTTTGAATATGAATTCTTACTACCTAGTAATATAAAGTAGGTAATTGACTAGATGAACCAGGTCACAACTGAGGGATGGCCTGCATTCCATCTTCAGTGTTAAGTGTCTTTTAGTTCCAAACCACTGCAGGATATGCAAGAGATGATAAATGCTACAGAAGACAGTGGAATTCAGGTAGTTTGAAAGTCATGATCTCTCGCCTCAACAGAGATATAATTTAATGGATCAAAAGAGAGAGACTGGTTCAAACAAAGCAGCACATAATCAGAAGTTGTTTCTCCTCCAAACCTGCATACACTGTCTGAAAAGAGCTGAAGGGCCCCACTTGGAGACTATTTGAAAACAGCTTTAAAAAAATACATCTTTCATTATTTTTATTGTATGAGTGCTTTGCCTGCATGTATGTATGTGTACCACATGTGTGCAGTGCCTGAGGAGGCCAAAAGAGGAAGTTGGATCCCCTAGAAATGGGATTACAGACAATTGTTAACTGCCATGTGGGTACTGGGGGAACCAAATTGGCCCTCTGCAAGAGCAGCCAGTGCTCTTAACCACTGACCCATCTCTCCAGTCCCTTGAAAACAAATATAATAGGAAGTTTCATGTCAGCAGACAAAACCTGGATGCCAGCAATTTGGAAAATACAGCAACAGGGCTCATAGTAACCAGGGGAGACATCGAAATATGGTATCAGGATCATGTTCATTTTCAAAGGTATTTCACTCCTCTTGCTTTCCTTTCTTTTAGCTTCTTCACTGAGAGTGCCAGACCCATGATGTGGGTGTGTGTGGGGGGTGTTCTGCTCTGAGGAAGACAATAAATGTAGATAGTAGGGAGCTTTAGCAATTTCTGATGAGCTTATACTTCTCATATCAAGATAAATGGATATTCCGCAGTAAAACTTTCTTTCCATTCGCAGAAAAGCCCAAAGTCACCGTGATGCCCAAGAATCAGTCTTTCACAGGAGGATCTGAGGTCTCCATCATGTGTTCTGCAACAGGTTATCCCAAACCAAAGATTGCTTGGACCATTAATGAGATGTTTATCATGGGTTCACACAGGTACTGGGTTTGTATCATGCTCTTTGTTTTTATTAAATGAGAAAGATTGATGAAACTTTTGGACCAAGTGAACATGACCCAATCTCTGTTCTTAAAGCTTGATGAAAATCCAAAGCTTTATACTTTTTATACAAGTTAGGAAATATTAAAGGAATGTAAATGTAAATGTAAAATGGTAACTTTGTAATGTAAATGTGACTTTGAAACATTTGGTGTTATTAGTCCTTAATTTCACTAGCTAAGACCAAATGTTTTGCAATATTTTGAGGTGTAAGCATGACACCGTAACTCGTTAGGGTAAGCATGACACCGTAACTCGTTAGGGTTTAGCCTGAGGAACTGAAATGGGATAATAAACTTGGTGGGGGAAATATCATACAGTTGCAACCAATCTGTATAAGGTATTGTCATGTTAGTGGGAGGGAGGGAGGACACAAAGGAAGCTCAGACAACAGATATTCTTGGTAACTGCTTCTGCTGTTGCCATAATACATTAAGAAGCATTTTATGTTGTCACTAGATACTTCCTCAAGACAACTTCCTTTCACTTCAGAGAGTAATAAATACGAGGATCAGAAACAACAGAGCTTCCAGTTATCAGGCTTCCATTTCTCCTGGTTTGGCATGAGGAGGCAGGCATAGGTAGGATCCAGCAAGCTGGGCCAGATTCTATTCCTGGACTCATCACAGACTCCATGGTGACATGAAACATTGCATCTCGAGTTTTTGTGTTGAGGAACAGTATCAATTACTTTTCTGTTGCTGTGATGAAACACTGTGACCAAGGTAACTTATAGAAGAAAGAGTTTATTTAGCTCACAATTCCAGAGGGATTAGAGTCCATAACGGCAGGGGAGGCATGGCAGCAGAGGTGGCCGGAACAAAAAGCTGAGTGCTCACATCTTCAAGCAGGCACAGGAAGCAGACAGTGACTAGAAATCTGGCAAGGCTTAAGAACGTTACAAGCCTCCCCCACCTGCTCTGACTTGCTTTCTCCAGGCATCCCCTCCTAAAGCATCCCCAAACAATGCCACCAACTGGGGAAAAAAAATGTCCGAACACTTGGAGCCTATGGAGAACATTCTCATTCAAACCACCACAAGAACCATTTAACTCTTCAATTTACCACAGGAGCAAGATTACCTGGGTTGAAAAATCTAGTACTTCCATTTAGTAACTCTGATTTTGAACAAGTTGTGTAACCTCTTCAGACATCTGTAAAAATAAAGATACTAATATTATCTAGCTCATTGGGTTGTTAGGAAAATTAAAAACTTTAATAAGCAGAAGATCCCTATACTAGTCTCTGGCATACATACTACTGGATACATAGTATCTGTGATGGTTAGTTTTTAATTGTCAACTTGACGCAATCTAGAATCACCTGGGAAGAGAGTCTCAAGGAGGGAGTGTCTAGATCAGGTTGACCCATGGGCATATCTATGAGGGATTTTTCTTAATTGAGCTGATTGAGGGGGGAAGATCCACTCTGAATCTGGGCAGCACCATTTCATGGGCTGGCCTGGACTTTTAGGAGTAAAATGGGCAAGCTGAGCCAGAGGCATTCCTGCATTCACTCTCTCTTTACTCTTGACTGCCAATGTAATGTTATCAGCTGCTTGAATTCCTGCCTTGACTTCCCCACAATGATGGACTATGACCTGGAATTGTGAGACAAATAAACCCTTTCTCCCTTTATCACAGCAACTGGACAGGAAACTGGAACAGCATCCATGATATTTTATTGTTATTATATTCTCCTTGTAAAATGATGTTCTTAATGATTTCTGAAATCAGCATAAAACTATAACTCTGAAATATTTGGAGTTAAGGTGTCTTGGTACTACTTTTACTAAATATTTTCAATTTTACTTTCTTGTTTTTTTTTTAATCCAAAGGTATAGGGTGACCCCAGAAGGTACATTATTTATCAAAAATGCAGTTCCTAAAGATGCAGGGATCTATGGTTGCCTGGCAAGCAATTCAGCTGGAACAGATAAAGAGACTTCTATCCTCAGATACATTGGCAAGTATAAGCAATTTAAAAGGCAAAGAAAATAAAGTGACTATCTTATTACGCAAAAGAAAGGCTAATGTTAGGAGTGAGTTATACCCAATATTGTAATTTTCCATATTGATTACAGCAAATGTTGTTCAAGGAGAGAGGTGCCTCATTTGTCAACAGAAACAGGAGACTTCCAGATTGTGAAACACTCTAGAATGTCCATAGAATGCCACCCTACTGAGGTTTACCTGTTCTCAATAATACTTTCCTTTGAGAAGAATAATAAAGAATATTCTATGTCTTTGATCATTTACCTCAGGCTCTGTTTTATGTTTTTATACTTATCTTCAAAACTGTGTATTAGATTAGGTCACGTTACATCTACAATTTCCTCTCCAAATTTAAAGCACTCATTAAAGTGTGTTTTATGACTTTATTTGATAGAATATCTCTATTTGATTTGGTTTTCCTAGTCTTTGAGAAAGAGAAGAGCATGGTGTGTTCAGTGTCGGTTTGTGAATTATGCATCATTTATAGCTATCAACCCTTCCTCATACCTACTTCAATTTGACTCCTGTCATGGTGAAAACTGGCAATGTGGAAAGAGGAGTCTAGAGAAGGCACAATACAGATAGAGGAACAAAGATGCTATGTCATAAGACCCTGGAAAAAGTGATCAGAAAAAAGGCATCGAGGAAGTAATTATGTAAGAGAAACTGGGCTCAAATTCAGAAATAATTGAATTTAGAATATTTGTAGAACACGGGTGGGAAGGTAACAAAAGACGTAACATGGAAGAAGTGATTAAAACAGAATTCTGTATTGTAAGAATAAATTTTGTGTTATTCACCTAGAAGCCAAAATATTCAGCACATTTATCTCATGTCTTACACACCTATAGAATTCAAAATGCCCCACTGGAGAATGAGTATTGAAAAAAAAAAAAAAACAAAGTAGTAGTGCCATACCTTTTAAGGCTTATATGATGGGAATAGATATGTAAAGCTATAAAACAAAGCAGGCAGACCGACACCACAGGGAGAGGCTGGCAGAAAGGAAGATTGATTCTGACTGGAGAATGTGAAAGATTTCTCAAAGGAGATAGGATTTAAGTTAAGTCTGAAAGAATGAGTGGAATTTGAATAGTTGTGGGCATTTCAGGAAGAGGACATGTAGCAAAACAGGAAAATAAATTAAAGTGAGCTATGTTTGGGACTACCCAAAGTTCTGCACCTTGTGATAACAAGTGTACTGGAAGGTACGATTAAAAAGAAAAACAGTTCATGAGTCTTGAAAGCCAAACCATGGGATTATGAAAATAGCAGCTTACTAGAGGTTTTCTGCTAGGAGAGGGGCACGAGGAGTTAACTCTGAGGAGTTAACTCCTGTTTTGTTTAAAGCAACCTCAGTTGAAGTGAGTAAGTCTTAAGCTGTGTATTTAAGAGGATATGCGTGAGTGAGCTAATGCTTTAATCAAGGTCGGAAGCAAACAGGACTAAGAAAAACAGTGAGCTAGAAAGCTAAGGGAATAAGTGTATGGTATTAGGTAGAGAATGCTATATTGAGTGTCATGAAGAAAAGAAGTGAACACTGAAGACACTGAACTTACAGATGCAAATATCAGTCACAGACTCCAAATATCTCACTCTATGAGACACAAACACACTTAAAATCACATAGAAGGTGTTAACACTATCATCTGCAATTGTATTATCCTCCAGAATCAATTTAGACAAGACAGCCGTATCATCATCTCTTTTGACTCTATTTTTCATTATGACATCCCTCTCTTCCATTCCTTTGGTGTAGTTGCTGTAAGATGCATTCATTTTCCCATGCTCTTTTCTTCTTACAGATCTCTTTATAACAAGGAGCTTTCGATTAACTTCCTAAATTTTTGTGTCTTGTTTTATAGTAATTATTTTAGACTTTAGTCCTTATGTTTTGCTTAATATCCTTTTGGGGCCTCAAGAAGTGATCTTTTCATCATATACATCGCTTATGCATACACACTGTGAGTATCTCTTTGTTTACAGGTATATAAGTAGACAAGGAATACTGGTAACTTTTGTTGGTTCATTCAGCAAATGCAAGCAAAACCCACATGGTGTTGTCTAGGTGCTGACTGTGTGTATCCTTGTGATTTTCAGAAGCTCCAAAGTTGGTTGTTGTTCAGAGTGAACTCTTGATTGCCCTTGGGGATACATCAGTCATGGAGTGTAAAACCTCTGGGGTTCCTCTACCTCAAGTTAAGTGGTTCAAAGGTACATGTCTTAAATATGTTCATGTTTGACTCCGTTTGTTTTCTTTTTTTCTTAAAAAATGATTTACTAAAAATTTGTTTTCGTGTGTGACTTAGCAGGCCTATAAAATGTGTTTATGATCTCATTGGACACAATAGTTCAGCATTCTGAACTCTGACTTTCAGGATTTCACATCTGGTATGGATTACAGGACCGTGAAAATCAAAGCAGGAAAAGTCTGCCTTTGCTAATACAGCTGAACATTCTCTGTGTTAGTTTAGGATTGTTTCCTGTAGAAAATTGTCCAAGAATATTCAGTTGACATTTAAAATAACTTCACTGGTTTTAGTTCACTTTTCTTAGAGACGAGCGTTCACATTATTAAAACATTTTCTAGATCCTCAAGGATGCTTTCTATAAACTGCTCAATTGAAGACATGCAGACACACATTGAGACTTACAGGAAATTAGAAGATAAACGTATGTCTTGGTCAGTTTCATGAATGGTAAATATTTGTATCCAGTATGGAAATTATGTCTATAGTTGTAAAGATTATACCCCTGATTCCTGGAATAAAAACACAGTAATGTGCTACTGGGCATGGTGGAGCTCGAGCCCTGCTTCGATGATGACACTTGGCATCTGCCTTAAAACTCCTGCTTCTACTTCCTTTTCAGTTCTCCTGATTTGTAATAAAAATAAAGTAAATAACTGCAGATACTCTAACAGGGAGGTTGCTAGGATTATTGAGATGCTGTTTGCAAAATACTTATTAATCTTTAGGTGAAAAATGCTAAATAGCACAAAGCACTATTGTTATGATTCTATTTGCTAAATCATAGATGTTCCCATAGCACCAGGTTGATGTCGTACTCACAACACGATGAATTCACCTGGGGTTCAAACTCTTAGGGAACATGAGGTGGCAGGAGAAAGGCGTTATGTACAAAACAAATATGTTTGAAATAATATAAATAAAAGCAGAGAGGGACTACCAGGAAGAAGTGCCATTTTCTTGCTTTTCTGTGCTCAAAGATTTTAGTTTTATGTTATCCTTGGTAAGAAAGAATTTCTGGATTTGTTCCTCAGTAAGGTTTATTTCAGTTAGCATCAACTAATTTTACTTATTTAGGATACTTAAATCTTTAAGCTGCCAGTTAAATAAATACCCAACTTCAAATTCAAATTGTTGCTAAACAGATCCAGAAAGCCAGTCATGGAGATGGTTTTGAATGTGATTCAGTAGTTTATGATGACATTAAAACTTCAAAAATGAATGAGGTGTGCTGATTTCTCTCCTTGGATACAATGAAAGCCTTTTTCACAAATTAGGTCTACTCTTCTGGAAAACTTGATCCTCATGCTAGTCTTGGTCCCACAAATAGCTTGGAAAATAAAGGAGGAATTAGGGAGCCATGCACCCACCATGTGGAAGATTCTCCAATTCATGTATTTGGTTCTTCTGTACTCCAGAGATATTACAGTTCAATGGGTCCAATAAATAATGTCCCAATAGATTCTAATCCAAATGGGCATGAGATACTGATATGCCATACCGGAAGACAGAATCCCAATGTTCATTAGCAACACGCTTCTCTGAACCCCATACCAAGCTAACTCACCCTCCCAGTCACAGACAGGCAATTTACTGCATAAGCAGTGAAGATCACCAAGGAAAGCTAGAGAACAAGCTATTCTTCATGCAGATGGGCCTAAAATGAATGGGTGGGGACAGGTGGGCTCTTAACGCCCTGGGAACAAGCCTCTAGGAGGGGTAGAAAAATCCTACCTTGTAGAAACAATGGGAGTGAAAAGAGTTCCTACCTTTACCCTAAGAATTTTTCTTCAATACCTTTCTTCATGCAATTCTGTTTGAATATTGTAGTGTCTGAAAGGAGAAAAAAGCAACCACAGCCTGTATTCTGTTCAGACCATCAGTGAAAAGAAATTCCATGAGGGGAAATGCTCTCCCAAACTTTAGATCTTTCATTGTGAAAAATGAGCAATATAAAGTGGTTTCAAGGAAAAATCAGGGACACTATTAAAATCTTATGAAAAGGATATTTGTGGTAAAACATAAAATTGGATTTATTTATTGAGATTGATAGTTCTTTAAATGTAGTTTGAAAACTCTGGAGGGATCCACATGCTAAAATTATTTTCATAATAATAGTAAAAAGTTACTTGGATTTTTTAGTCTCATTGTCTTACAAGTGAGTAGTGGAGTTTCTGGAGGCCACACAATGTGTGATACCCAGTGAAGAGAGGGCAGAGGTGACTATAAGCATTCAGCTGCCTCCTATTAAGCTAGCATTAGACATTATGGAATGTAATAATGTTCCCCTAATGTAAAACAGTGCCTGCCACTTTTCCAAATAAGTTATTTTCAAAATAAGTTTTGAAAATTATGTTTCATAAAATATGTTTGTTATGTGAAAATATCATGAATTTTAAATAAAATAAATTGTATGTTTTTAAACATCTCAATTTGAATTTGATTTCTGATGTACTAAATACAAATAAATATAATCTGTATGCATAAAAATTAATATTGGGATGGGGCTGGAGAGATGGCTCAGCGGTTAAGAGCACTGATTGCTCTTGCAGAGGACCTGGGTTCGATTCCCAGCACCCACATGGTGGCTACTAACCGCTCTTAACTTTAGTTCCAGGTGAAGCTGAAGCCTTCTTCTGACCTCCGTGGCATTGTATGACACGGGCACACTTACATACATGCAGGCAATACACTTATACACATGAAATAAAAATAAATAAATATTTTTAAAAATTAGTATGGGGATCCTCAGTCATTTTTAAAACTATACTGAAGGAAGAGGCCTTGGACAAACATTTCTTTTTCTTTTCTTTACTCTTTTTTTTTTTGAGATAAGGTCTTTGTCTTATAGACCCAGTTGGCCTGGAACTTGCTATGTAGACCAGGCTGGCCTCAATCTCACAGTGATCCATTCTGCCTGCCCCTGCTTCCTGACTGCTAGGATTAAAGGCATGGGAAACATTTCCAATAAGTTAATTACCATTAACTCTTTGAAAAGCTCTTGCACTAAACACAATGATTTGTCTGATAGTCTTTACATCATCAGAGACCCAGGATGAATTTAAATGACAACAAGAAAAGAACTCTCCTCAGTAGAAATGATTGTTAAACACCAGAATAGATTATCTGGAAATTGTATTATTTTACAGTGTATAACATCCTTCTTATTTTATTAAATATTAAACCAAACACTCTCTATTCTAAATCCATCTGAAAAGACCTGTCCTCCTCTATGACCTCTCAACAATTTGACAAGTAATTTTTTCAGTAGAAAAAGAAAAGACTATTAAAATGTAATCAAAATATACATTTGATGAAACTAATGATTTCAGATTTATATTTTGTTTAATGATTACCATTCTTCAAAAACATTTATTTTAAGCAAAAGCTACTATCAAATGTCTTTATTTCATCTTCTGACAAAGATGATATCCTCTGGACATATACAGGAAAACTGAAAGACAGAAGGAAATTACAGTAATCTAAATGCATTTTAGACCAAACATTTTAATTCCTGATGAACAGCAAGGTCAGACTGCATCCTCCTTTGATGAGAGGGAAGTTTATGTCAACATCATCTGCTTTTATTTATTAAGATTTCCCAGAGGTGCTTAGACAAAGCTCTAGCTGCTTCTCTCATCTGTGAGGGGTATGCAGCAGCAACCTGAAGGCTGGCCTGGCACTTTAAATCTTAGAATGCTAGAAATACTTTGTTTTGGGCTCTGAAAGTTGGTTACTTAGTGCTTTTTTTTTTTTTTTTTTGCTGTTGTTTTCAAATTTAGAGCTCCTTTGACCTCCTCTCTTCAGAAAATTATATGAACAAAAGAAAATTCTCTGAGTGCTGCTGAGTCCATTGGTTGTTCCTGTCTGCATTGTTCTCTTAGAGAGTCACTAATGCCCAGACCCTCTTTGTCTATTTGAAGTAAAGAACTGCTTCTTTGGTTTTCTGTCCCAGGACACATGGCTGATATGTGACATTTGGAAAATATCTTTTAGACTTGATTTTGAGAATGCCACGAAACCCTAAGAGTAATGGCCATCAAACCTTCTGAGGGATTTTTAGATTTTCACGTGTTTTATATGATCCTTCACAAAACAAATGAAAAAGATGTGCACTGGATTGTATTAAGATTCCACTACTGTGTGGGTGTTTTGATATTGGTCATCCTGGTTAATTTCGGTCTTTAGTCAGGAGACCCTTTGGGAGAAGGAAAGTATAGGAGATGTATAATCAAAATGTGGCTTTGTTAAGACATTGTCTCCTTTAATCATAAGTGGTTCGTGGAGGATTAAAGGTTCTGCAAGGGCACAGAGCATGTCGGTAACCTAGGCATAACTAGTTTTTCCTGGTTCAATCTGCCCTTTCATTCAGCTCAAATTCAATGTATGTCTTCACCTCTCAAACATTTAGCCCCAATGTTTGCTTCTTCCAAACACTGTATTATTCTAAATTTTAAAAAAAATTTGTATTTTATTTATTACTTTTATTTTATGTGAATGAGTGTATTGCCTACATGTAGGTAGGGGTAGGTGTGCCCATGGTGTGCAGTGCCCGCGGAGGTTAGAAGAAGGTGTTGGATCCCCTAGAACTGGAGTTATGAATGGTCATTAGCCACTTGTGGGTGCTGGGAATTGAAACCAGATCCTCTGCAAGACAGCCAGTGCTCTTCACTGCTGAGTCATCTCTCAGCCCCCTAATTTAAACATTTTAATGAATAAGATCTTAGCTGACATAACCTGTGTGATTAATATAACAAAACTCCTCGTTCTGTTCTCCCAGCCTTTTCCTGCCCTCTCCAACTAGCTCCCTTCCTTTCAAGCCATTCTTAGAAATTTCCCAGTCAGTTTAGACTTCTAACAAGACAATCTAACAGACAGCAGTCAACAAACAAACCAAGAACCCTGGTGCTAAGTCAAACAATACCTGTGATCTCTCAAGCACTTCCTGGATCACTGAAATGCCTCGTGCCACAAAAAATGGGAGAAACCTCTCTCTGACCCTCACTTTCCTAACTCCTTTCTTACCTGACAGAGACTTGGTTATAGCCAGCCTTTCCCAGATTCCCATGTTGCTTCCAAGAGCTCATTCTTCCTGGGATTTTGTAGAGATATAAGAAAGAGACAATTGCATACAGTTCCTTACAGGACCAGGCTTTAGACTGTAGAAAGTAAAGTATTATTTCATGTTAGACACAACTGGAATTTGCAACAGTGCATTCAACCTGTTAAGTTTAGAAATCAAGCCAACAACTGAGTAAACTATGTAAATAGTTTAATGATCTTCCTCTTCTTTTGACTTAGGAGATCTTGAGTTGAGGCCCTCAACATTCCTTACTATTGACCCTCTCTTGGGACTTTTGAAGATTCAAGAAACACAAGATCTGGATGCTGGAGATTATACCTGTGTAGCCATTAACGATGCAGGAAGAGCAACTGGCAGGATAACGCTGGATGTCGGCTGTAAGCATTCATAAATGATAGGCTACTTTGTTTTTCTGAAACTGGGCTATTTTCCATGTTGAACAACTGTAATACAATTTGGTAGAAATATTTGTCAGAATGGCCGAACTGCGAGGGCATTTCAGATGATCAACACAATCAGGGTAATTGGCTGTTCCTAGGCACTTCCTATATACCATTTATTGTGACAAGAACATTTTATGGCCTCTCTTGTTAAACTCTCACAACAACCGTAAGAAGGAGATGCTACTATAAAGATGAGGATACTAAACTTATAAAAACTGTAGTTAAAATTCCTTCTGGGAGGCATCAACAGTGTCTAACCCCCTCCTCCTTTGGAAGAAGCAAACATTGGGGGTAAATGTTTGAGAGGTGAAGACATACATTGAATTTGATCTCAATGACGAACAGAGGTACAATTTCACCAAACTATAGTCTGGGAAACCAGTGAGTGTAGTGGGCTTACTTACAGAGCAGTGGGTGAGGGTCTACTTACAGCAATGTGGTTAACTTTCCCAAGGCTGCACTGAAAAGTCTTCATCCAAACATGGATGGTGACTTTCCCACTGCCACACAAAATGTCAAGAGAGCCTCCTTTCCACTTCCTCAGTGTGTACACCTTTAGTCCTTCCCCCTCATGCAACTAGGGCTGATTGGTTGGTTAGGAGGTGGATTGATTCTCTCTGCCCTTCCTTTCTTGTGAAGTGGAACAGTCAACAAGCAACAAGCAAGTAGGAGCAATCAAACTTGGGAAGAAGGCATCTGTCCATGGTCTGTGTGTCAGAGGATAGTCCTATGTAACAAAAACTAAACAACTTGATCAGGGTTACCAGTGCTAGGGAAGAGCAGAGCCTGGGTATTTAACCTCAAGTTGCCTGACCTCAGAGGCCATTGGCTTCATGAGCATATATCATCCATTACCATTTTCCTGTCAGGACTCATCTATACGTCCATCAGATCCCCAAGAATTAACATCTGGAAGCCAGAAGTTAGATTTTGGCCTTAGACCAATTGGTGGTGCTTTTGCATTAGTTTTCAAAATTCATGAGCAGTTATTTCCCAGTATGAAATAAAGCACTAACTACACATAGTGTCAGTCACATGAGAAGATACAGTGTACACATGACAACTGTGTTTGTGTATTTGTGTTCTCAAAGAGTTTTATTCCCCCTCCTTCTTCTATTTTACATCTTTTAAGAAAAAAAATTCCTACACTGTGTGGTAAAACCAGGAATGAAACAGAGTTTGTTTTGAATGGAAAAGAATGTGGCAGCTAAATTTTAACAGATAATTAAATATTTACATCTCTTTAAACTTATAAAATATGGAATTTCATTGGATTGTGCTTTCTTTCACGTATGCTATGCACAATGATGTCTGCCATGCTCACACTGCCTTTTTAAACAAGTGTTAAGAAAATGCTTCTTTTAAAAAGCATTTTAGTTCTATTATCTTAGGCTTTTAAGCAAAGATTATGGTTCTCTATGCTTGGTATTTTATTTCATGGAAACTAGTTTTTTTTTTTTTTCCTCCAGAGACCCATTATGATCCTGGTTCCTTGTCCCAGGTTGTCTGTTGAATATTATTCATTTTTTGTGTATATACCCTGAAATTTGAAGTTAACAGAAAGGTCACTATAGGCTCTATCCAGAGTGGTACAAAATGTGCTTTAACCATAACTGAATTGTTATTGTTGAGATAAATGCCTAGGAAAGAAGATCATGCTCACTGAATAGAGGTATCTCCAAGTATACTAACAGAATCTCAAACATACTAATAATTTTGGAAATTAAGGCCAGAATAAGGAGCCTTAATCTGTCATTAGATACAGAATTCTTGCTTTCAAGAAACACAAGAGATAACATTTAAATTCCCAGCACTTTAAACAGTCATCCTGTTTCTCACTCTTACCTGCAGATATTTCATATTTACACAACATTCTTTTGAGTTTTCCAGCTCTAGAAAGACAAAGAAACTATTTCAGTGACTGTCCCAATAACTGTTCCAAGGAAAAACAACGTGATACCCTTACCCCCTTCAAAGTTTTAGAAACTCTGAGCCTCTCATACATGTACCTTTGTTTACTGACTGTTTTCTTTTTAATCGCTGTTTGTGCCTGAACTCTCTGGATTCTCTCCACTGTCCAGTGGTGTATAGGGCTGCCTGTGCTGGGATACCTTGTGCTGGTATGTTAGTTACTTTTTTCATTGCTGTGACAAAAATACATAACAAGAGCAACTTAAGGAAGGAGGGGTTTATTTAGCTTATAGTTTGAGGGCATATAGTCTCACAGCAGGAAAGGCATGATGGAAGGAGCATGAGGTGGCTGGTCACATTGTGTCTACAGTCAGGAAGCCGTGTCAGATAGATACTGGTGCTTGGCTTGCTTTCTCCTTTTGAAGATTCAATCTTGAACCCCAGTCCATGGGATGGTGACACCTGTATCCATGGTGGTTCTTGCTTTCTCAGTTAAAGCTCTGAAAATATGCTCAAAGGTGACTATCACAGGTGATTGAAAATGTAAAGCTGACAAGGAAGATTAACCATCACGATGGGATTAAGAAACTGCCCAACAAGTATTTTCTATTTAAACTTCACTCTGTAAGCTTAACTGCACTTTGATTTGGCTCTAACCTCTTCAAATCTTCACTGTCTATGGCCTTCTAAAACAATGATTTTCTCAATTTTTATTCCTGTAACTATTCTGATAAAACCATTAACAGAAACAAGTTGTTTACCATGACTTTGATCATTGCTAACACTTTCCAGGTAACTTAGTATTGAAGTTGGTACCATTCATGTTTCTGTTAGACCTTAAGTATCTCCATAAGATCCTTCTTAGAGTAGCTCATAAGGTGTGATTGGACTTGTCTGTCCAAATAAGATCATGATTACATGCACTAACAAATGTAACATCCACATGCCAAGAACTATATGAATCACAGTTGCAAAAACTTTGCTTTTTATTGCTAGGTTTAAAAGCAAGCACACTAGGAATTAAAAGTTCCAGAAAATTCACCAGAATTTATATAGTGGTTAAGAACACAGATGCTCAGGGAACAAAAAGGTTTGACTCCCCAACTTTCCTTATCTTACAGATATAAATAGCACTGACTTTACAGGTATGTTAAAAAGATGAAATGAGATTGGATCACTCATGTACACTCAATATATCAGTATTAGTTATAATGTGACTGAATCCAGCATTGGTTCAGTGTATAACTTCACCTGTAAAGTAGTTGTTTTGTTTCAGTGAGTCTTAAAAACGATACAGAAATGCCTGCATAAAATGACACAGTATTCAAGATTAGACATTGGGCTTTTACTATGAAACTCATTTTTTCAACTTGACTTCTTTTCAGAAAGGGCTTGGGGAAAGTTAAGTACTAAGCTTAGTAGTGCATAAAATTATTCATTCGAGTTCCAAAATTATTGGGCATAAATTTAAGTAACTTATGACTTAAGAACAAAACCATGCTTTTATCCATATCGTGTAGCTATTTGGACTTTTAGATTGTTTTTGTGGGCCCATTACCTCACAGCAGCAATAGTAGATCAAAAATAACCAAAAAGACTGTTTAATATTACTCTTGAGTTCTAGCTTCTTTTTTCTGTTTCTCATTATCATGGCTTTAAGTTATGGACATTTCAGGGCAACAGGGAAAGTTACCAATGCTTTTTATCCTTTGTAAAAGGGGTAGTGAACTGTGAAGTCATTTGGAAGAAGAGGGGATTAGAAACATCAAACAAAAAACTAGTCTGGCAACAATTTTTTTAAGCATTCCACACCACACAGAGTTTGAGTCCTAGACTGTGGCTTTCTGTTTTGTGGGTTGGTGGAACCAAAGCAATGTGTCTAGTCACTTTAGGAAAGAGAATCTCTGAATGACATAATGCAAGAGATACCATAAACACAACAACTCCCATGGGGGATATATATATATATACAGAAATATATATGTATATATATATATATGTATATGTATATTCTTATTCTGTTTTGAAGGGAACTAAAAGTAATTGAAGTAGATTTTAGACAAGATGGCCAATTTGTTTGTGACTTTTTTAGTTTTAAAATAATGAGTCTGCACAACCATACTATCCAAAAGGGCAACAAAGCTGTCCTGTGGCATTTAATCCTGTGCAGATTTTAATGCATCACATAAATGCTCAGAGGATCACCAGGGATCCTTATCCCAAAAGACCATAGGAAGGAGCCAATGTTGAAATTAACATGAATAAATGAGTGTGGAGATATATAACATGTATACAAATTCCATAACTACGATTTAATAAATTAACTCTTTACATTTAATGCTAGTTAATATTTAGGTAGTAATTATGTCCTGTGCCATTAGAAAAGATCTTTTTTTAACAACATGAGATAGGAAATATTCTCTTTAAACTGAGGAGGGAGGTAAAATGATTTTCCAGAACCCTGTGGTAGGCTTTCTTATCCTTTCTGAGTTACACAGCCTCCTCTAGACAAGCACCACGGTGTAAGGTAGCTCTCATGCTGCTCTCTTCTCTAGTTTAATCAGTCTGTCTACCAGTCACCCAGGGTAATGCACTTGGAGGCTCTGCTGACCACATTCAGGAGGAGAACGTCTTTGAGAGGCTTCTTGGCTCAGTTAGGATCTGCTCCTTTTTCAAAGTTTGTTTGTGGTGGACGATGTGTTGGCTGCTTACCCTCGTCCTGGTGTTCTCATTTGTCTTTTGTTCTGATCAGCACTTATGTCACTGACTGGTGCTTCTGCACATCTCCTTCAGACATTCTTCCTGAAGCTGCTTCACAGTTCGGGACTTCCCCACTGAGTTGTGTGGATATAACTCGAATATCTTTGTTTTTGTTTTTCGTTACAGAGTCTCTTCTCCCATTACTTCTGAATACCCTAGCTTATCTCATTTTCATTGATATGAGTGTATTAATGTATCAGATAATGTAAACCTTCCCTTCCCCTAGTACGTGGTGGATTTCAGTCTTCTACGTGTCTTTTTTCCTATTTTGAAAATTATTTTCTGCCCATTAATACATTCATCTTCCCAAATTCTAAGCCTAGCACATCTTGAGACTTTTAGTCTTAACAGAAAAGCTTCATGTTTTAAAATCTCTCTCTTTTCATTCATCCATGCATTAATTTTTTTTCTTCTTCTTTCTTTCTTTTTTTTGAGACAGGGTCTAACTATATAGCCTGAAACTTGCTATGTAGATGTGGTTGGCCTCACTTGAACTCCTAGATCTTCCTCCTGCTTCTACCTCCTGAATGCTCAGATTAAAGGTGCGCACCACTACACCCAGCAAGGTTCCTATTTTAGAATAGGTGACTGTATTTACTCTAGAAAGAAGTAACAAGGGCTTATCAATAATAAAAGCAAGCAAAGAGCTACTTCATAAACTATGTTTAAAATATATCTGCCAACTATAATTGCCACCCCATGGCTGTCAAGACCTGGGTGCAGTCCTTAACAATATTAGGAATCGGGGAAATCTACAGATTTTAGAAAATAGAGGACACTGGTGTAAAGCTGTCATGTGAAGCTATGAACCGTCCCTAGTGCCGTTTAGAAAATCTTGGATTGGAAGCCTGTAAGCTAATTGCTGCCTGCTGTGAGGACCTAGCTTCTGCTTTTACCAGTAGTAAAACCCTGAGGGGAATCAGCCTGTTGAGGAACACCATGGCACACAGTAGTGGGGTGACTGTGCTGAGTGAGTACCCAAAACAGCCAACATGTAACCTGCATGCAAGGCCTGTGAACAACTAACTTTAATGAAAAAAAAACCAAGTAATTTCTGACTGCTGAGAAAAAGAGAATTCCCTACTTGACATTCCAAAGCAGTGTGTAAGAGAAACAGAAGTTATGAATGAAAATCCTATTCCAAGAAACCTGGGCATATCTGACCCAAAACCACATACAGAGGAAAGGGAGTGGGCTCTTGCTTTGGCACACCCGAGTTTAAGATCACTGACACGCTTGACACATGATTTCTCTGACATTGAGCTCAGAGGTGTTATGTAAGATGAATGGGGCTTTTCATTTGCAAATAGAAGACACAAAGTCATGGAAGGGGTTTAGGGGTCATAGGGTGAGGGTGAAGATGGGGGAGGAGGTCTGAATAAAATCAAAACTCATTGTATGAAATTCTTGAATCAAAATTTCTTTTAAACTAAAAAAATTATTTATATTTATGTGTACAAGTGTTTGCCTGCCAATGTGTATGTGCACCGTATGTGTACTTGGTGCCCACAGAGTCCAGGAGAGGGTGTCACATCTGGAATTGGAGTTACAGACTGCTGTGAGATACCATGTAGGTTCCAAGAACTAACCCAGGTCCTCTGTGAGAGTAGTGTGCACTCTAAACTTTTGAGGCACCTCTGTGGCCCCTGCAGTTATTTTTTATGAGACTGCTAGCCAGCATGGCTGCATGTTACTAGAACGCATAGAGAAGGGGAAGCTGATAGAGTCACAAACCTTTGTGACCCCGAGGTGGAAACTAGTTTCTAATCCTCTCTTCCTCATTCAAAACCGTGTTCCATTTAGCAAATTGTTTCAGTTTCTTCGTCTAAAAAAAATAGATTTTGAAAATTACTTATAATATAGAAATCACTTGACAAAATCCTTGTTTTATTCAGAAAGCAATAGTTCTTGACTTTGCTAACTGGATTTTAAGCATGTCATGTGATGTACTGTCTCTTAGAATCTTGCATGAGCAGGTTTCTTCCATTGCTTTCAATAGCACCCCTGTATTTTCCTCAACTGATGATTCAAACATCATTATTCCTAAGTTTCTAGAATATACTGAACATGCCGAGAGCCTCATCTCTAAGTGGCTACTGAAAGCATCCTCCTGTGTTTTTCTAGGTGTGCCTCTGATAAATTTCTTTATAGTTTTTGAATTCTGAATTCTTTCTAATTTCAGGCATTTATTATTCTCCCTTTATCAAATTTTATATTCTAGAATTTTAACTTATTGATTCTCAAACACAAATTTCGCCAATTTAAAAGTGTGAAATGTAAGGAGAAATAATATAATATTAAGAATGGCTATTATTTAGGAATAAACATTGTTAGCCTGTCAGGCAGGAATTAGTAAAGACAAACTGTGGTTGTTTAAAAATTCATCCAAAGGGATTTTGAAAAGTTCCAAAAAGATTATATCACATTACAAGGCCAACTTATTTAGAAGAGAGTTGTAAGGTTTGAGCAGTATAACATATTGATTGAAAATAAATTTATATAACAGTTCTCTTTAAGATGATCTTTATATCACCTGCAACTTTAAAGAAATATGAATTTCTAAGTGTCTGTTCATAAAGCAAAACCAACAAATAACGAGCAACTACATCTGCATTTCTGAATCAGACAGGAATAACTGCAGGGTAAATTAATAGTATTTCATGAACAATGATTTGTTTCAAATTCAGTTTGCTGATAACTTAATATGGATTTATGTTTAATGTGTCTGTATGCCATGCCAGTGACTTTTTTGTGTTTTGTATCTTCTAGCACCTCCGGTTTTCATACAAGAACCTGCTGATGTATCTGTGGAAATTGGCTCAAATATTACATTGCCTTGTCATGTTCAGGGCTATCCAGAACCAAAGATCAAATGGCGAAGATTGGACAACATGCCAATTTTCTCAAGACCCTTTTCAGTTAGTTCGATCCGCCAGCTGCAAACAGGAGCTCTCTTTGTTTCAAGTAGGTTAAAGGAGACATATAACATATATTTTTCATTTTGCTTTGGTTTGCCTTTTGTTTTTGTTGTTTTGAGAGAAGGTCTCATATGTAACTCAGGATGGCCTTAGACTTTTGATCTTCTTGCCTCAGCCTCCTGAAAGCCAGATTACAGGTGTGTACCACAGGGCCAGGATGTATTATATGCAAATATGTACTTATATGTAGCAAGCATATTAAACTAAACATACTTGAGTTATAGCATTTATAAGATTAAAATCTTCCCTTAGCTTCCTGATTGCTCACAAGACAAGGATTACACTTTTAAAAGGCTTTAGCCTCCTGAAGATACCTCTCAACTTTTTCTTTTTTAAAAAATTTTACATGTGAGTGTTGCGCTACATGCATGTAAGTGCCCCACATGCATGTAATGCTGCATAGACAAGAAGAGCACATCAGATTCCCTGGAACTGGAGTTATGGACCATTGTTAGCCATCATGTAGGTGCTGGGAACCAAGCCAGGGTCCTCTGCAAAAGTAACCAGTGCTCTTAACCTCTGAGCCACCTCTCCAGATCTGATACCATCCAAGTTTTAACTACATAATCCCTACCCTGCCTGCCCTGATGCTGTCTTTAATTACAACTGTTCTATATTACTGTTCTTGATCTTGGAAAAACAGTTTTGTACTACATACTAAAAATTATGCTAATATCCAAAATGCAGTACAAAGAAAAATGAGGAAAAGGAATTTGTATTAAAATAATATGTGTAATATGTATTTCAATATGCAAATCCCTGGTAGTGTCTATATAGTATACATGCACATTTGTACATCCCCACCATGAACCCCACAGCTCAAAGGCAGACTGATGTTGTATGGGGTCAAGTGATCATTTTAAATCAGTGAATAGGCTTTGTTAAAGTTCTGTCTTCTATATAAACCAGAATTAGGCTTATGTATTTATAAGTATTTATCAAATCCATAAATTTCCAGTGGAACATTCAGAATTCTTGCCAGACTTGTGGTATCTCTCTGTGAATCTGCTTCATGTTTCCTTTCTCTAGCTTTTGTCCCCTAAACATGATTTCTGCCAATTACTGGAGCCAGTAACCAATCTCCCCTACAAATAGCAAAGATGCCCTTCGGGGGGGGGGCATAACTTTTTATTCTTTGATCAGACCTTGATTTCTTTCCAGTTTTATTGAGGTGCAAAGAATGGTACATATTTAATATGCATATTTAGTAAGTTAAAATTCATGCAAACATCCATAATGCCATCACCACATTTGAAGTAACGGACCTACCTGATGCCCCTCAATGTTTTCTTGTGCTCTTTCTTTAGATGAAGGAAGGGGACTGAACAGAGCTTCTGCAATATGTTAACCAGCTAGTAGATTTTCACTTTGAGTGTATCTCTCTCTCTGTCTCTGTCTCTCTCTGTCTCTCTGTCTCTCTGTCTCTCTCTGTCTCTCTCTGTCTCTCTCTCTCTCTCTCTCTCTCTCTGTGTAGCTATGCTTTTGCTTTGAAACTCATTATTAGTATCGGTATGCTCTTCCTGTCAGCCACCCACTCTTTGAAGTACAGCTCTGGCATTACCTTTGTTGTGAATTTCTAACTTCTCTGTGCACAGTTGGTCCCTCTGCTCTGTGTGCTTCAGCAGCTCAGTGTATGAACCTCCTAGAGCATTTGCCACCATGGTGTGACTGCAGATTTCCATGTCTGCTTCCCTAGAAGGGAATGACTAGAACATGATTCCATGGTTTTCATCCACAGATCTCAGTACTGTGCCTGGCACATCGCCAAGGTATCCCAGTGGTACTGAATAAATAAACAAGTTCTTTGTTTTTAGACCTATGGGCAAGTGATAAAGGAACATACCTTTGTGAAGCTGAGAACCAGTTTGGAAAGATCCAGGCACAGACGACAATAACAGTGACAGGACTTGGTAAGATCAATTAAATGTCTGCACATCACATTCTTCAAAATTGTCATATCTCTTTGAAAACATCACCCTTTGCATGTGACATTTATTATTTATTCTAAAACCAAGCAGAGGCTTCTCTCCCGAGGCCACTTCATATTTCATACAGTCTTAGAACTGTAGCTCAGCAATCACCTCGTCAGATTCCTCATCTTGTATTTGATTGTTGGTCTATTTAAATGGATTTAAGACTAAATATTAACATGCACACACACAAACACACATACACACACACTCAGGAATGGTGTTTTGGGGTTTTTTGTGGATTTGGGGGGGTTGTTATTATTTTTTGTTGTTATTGCTGTTTTGTTTGTTTGTTTGTTGAAACATCATCTATCTGTAGCCCCAGCTGGCCTGGAGTTCTCTATGTAAGACAGGCTGGCCTCAATCTCACAGAGATCCACCTGCCTCTGCCTCCTGAGTGCTGGGATTAACGGTGTGTGCCACCATTCCCTGCTTATGAATGGTGTTTTAAATTATCTGCTCTACATTTATAATTTTCATCCACATAGAATTATGTTTGTTTATGAAGTAAAGAATAGAAGACAGTTCAGTTCCAAGTGGTGAGATGTTTGATTCAGTATTTTTATTGAATAGTCTCTTCACACTGATGAAGCTACTCACTTGTTCACATTTTGAGTTTATATCCTATGTTTGTTCCTTGGAATTACTTTTTGCATTAGTACTATAAGGCTTAAATTATTATAACATTCCATTTGATACTAAATGTCCCTCCATGTTTCCCATTAATAACCTTTTACATAAACGTCTGTGTCTTCCTTTGTTTGCCTGTACACCTATGTTTTCAAGTAACATCTCTTAAGGATTTTGTGCTCATCTGTGGTACATTTTGACATCTAGGAAAACACAGTGGATAGCTCTTCTTTACTGTTCCAGCTCAGCAAGCTCACCTCATTTTATTTGCTTGAGGTTTTACCACAGACTCCTGGTTGCTTCCACCACATCTAATCTATTCCATTTCAGATAAATATTTTCCACAGAACACCTTCTGATGATTCTACACCTCCATCACAAACATTCCCAGTCTCTCTCCATTTCTATGCTGTACACTGAACGAGTCTTGCCTTGACATTGCTGGTCTTCCATGTGTAGATGCTTTACCTTCAGTGCTTCCGTGCATTTACTGATCCGTTTTCCATTCCTTCTATAGATGGAGCTGTTACTTCTAATTCAAGTTCATTTCTATTTTCATTTTAAAATTTTGTTCTTAAAAATTCTGGTTTTTACATGTAGCCATCTTGCTTGTTATGTGATTTGCCCTTTTCAAAATGAATCTAAGGTAAAAGTTCTCTCTCTGATCTAGTTGCCCCACTCATTGGAATCACTCCTTCTGCGGCCAGTGTTATTGAAGGACAGCAGCTTACTTTGCCTTGTACTCTACTGGCTGGAAATCCCATTCCTGAACGTCGGTGGATGAAGAACTCAGCTACGGTAAGAACTCTTCAGTGCATGCATTTTTATTTATTTTCTTCAGTAAGAAATATCAAGTTCACAAACATTTTAAAAAGCATAACAGAGCTTTTCTTTTTTAAAAGATTTATTATTTTTTTATTATTAATTATACATATATTTATGTGGGCATGTTATGTACATGTGGGTGCAGGAGCCAGTGGAATCCAGAAGATGTTGGTCCCCCTGGAGCTGGAGTTATAGGCAGTTATGAGCTGCCCAGCATGGGTGCTGAGAATTAAGCTCAGATTCTCTGCAAGAGTGCACTTAACCACTGAGCCATCTCTGTAGCACCAAGAACTTTTCTTTTTGTTAACAAGTTTATGTCATTCATATTTATTATTTGGAAACTAACATTTTTAGAAATAACTGGTGGTATAATTTTTACAATTTCACATTACATTTAATGTCATTAATAAATTGCCTTCAATTTGTGGGAAAGCTGAAGCTAGTAATATTTTCATAGCATTTAAATATTTCTACCCTTTTTGTAGGACATTATGCAATATTACTCTCTCTAAAATCTTTCATTTTATGCATTAATCTTTAGTATGATGAATTTTCAAAGATTTTATGATGAACAATTTATGAAGGTGGATCCACAGCCTATCACTGATTTTTAGTACATAAAAAGTACTTAAGAAAGAATGTGGACAATTTTTCAGCTCTATGAAAAATTTCTATAAATGTTTGATCTGTTGAAACACATTTTCATCTAGTTCAGAGCATTGCCCCTTCCATTTTTAGAGTACTTGGACTCATTGTCTTCTAGAAATACTCATTAGGAGGGAATCTGACTCCATGTAAAAAACTGAAAACTTGTTCATGTTTGTGTAAAATCCTGAAGAAAACCGGCATACCCTATTTAAACATAAATGCTCTTATAGAATAAAGCCAGTTGAACATTAGCATGCATAAATGGTACAGATTTAGAAGTGATCACTTTTATGCTACAATATTACAGCCTTCTCTGACACGATTTCTCAGTCATCCAGTGTCCACTGCGATTTAAGCATGCCAGCTGACAAGGGTGGGTTCTGAGTTTAAGTCAGTCTCCCTTGGCTTGAATAAATGGCTAGGTACTAGAACAAAAACACTGAAGAGGTTGTTAGCTGTCAGTTGTCCTTCTTGGAAAAAAACAATCTCAGCCAAAAGAAAAAAAATACTAGTGAGCTTTGAGTCCCAAGTGACAGAGTTTACAGCAACGTGAAGCAGGTGGTGTCTCTGCCATTTCCCTCTTTGTGGGGACATGGGTAACTGAAAACTATGGTAAGCACCACTTTGGAGGGACATCAGGATTGAATATGATATATTCTTGATATATTCTTCTCACTCTCATTTTTTTCACCCAAGGGCACTAAAATATCTTCTTGTTTTATAAGAGATCTAACTACCCATTTGGAAAAAACATATGGATCTGGTTTGGGCTTAGACAAATTCCTGACTTTTTTAATTAATTCTTTTTATTATTCTTTAAGTTGGTACAAAATCCTTATGTAACTGTGCGCAGTGACGGGAGCCTCCATATTGAAAGAGTTCGGCTTCAGGATGGAGGGGAATATACTTGTGTGGCCAGTAATGTTGCTGGAACCAGTAACAAAACAACCTCTGTGGTTGTGCATGGTAAGAGAGAGACTCGATGTAATTGCTTCCAAATCTTGTTCAAGGCAAGGTTCATGGGTTTTAATCAAATAACTCTGTTCCTCTAATTACAAGAAATAAAGCTTGCTCCTAATTGTTATTTTATATTTCTGAACAATCACCACATTGTTAATGCTATTTCCAGATTTCCCTTTTCTATGTACACAAAAAGACATTCTGGGGAGTCACTAGCCCAGTCTGGCCAAGGGCTTTTGTAAGTGGTTTCTTAATTGATGAAAGTGAACTCAGCTCTCAGAGAATCATGTTTAAAAATACATTTGAATTTCAGGCAAGCTGAACTTAATGCACCATCCAAATTGCCTTACCCAAATTGCTTTTTTTTTTTCCTTTTGGATTGTGCAGCAAACATGTCCTTACTAATAGCCCCTCAGTGTTTGAATTAAAAATGACCTAAGCTTTTCTAAAGGTCACCTCATGTGCTCCAAACAATCTTCTTTGCATGTTAAATAACTTAAAGGTCACAAATAAGAAAATCCAGAGGCAATCTTTTTTCCACTTGTGAGTAACAGTTGTTAGGTTTTTTTTTTAAGGAAAAAAAAAACTCAATAAATAATGAACAATCCCACAGTTTAAGCAATTATAACATTTTTGTATTTATTTTTAAAAGCTTGAAGCATTGTTTTTAAAATGTAGTATTAAAATAGCTTTACATCCAGGGTTGGGTGTCTTAGGGAACAAAGGAGTACAGGATCCTTAGCTTTATTAGTTGACTCAATATTTAGAATATGAATTGGAGAATCTACCAGCTTACAAATTTTGTTTGTCTGCTGAAAATCTCAGTAACTAAAAACCATCTTCCTTGTGCCCATTTCTCTCCCACGTTTGACAGGCTTATGCCAGTATTTACCAACATCACCTGATGTGTTCTTGAGAGATTTTGAAGAATACCAAAAGAACTTTAATTTATTTACAGCCTAAAGAGTAAAAGCATAATGTCAGATTGAATATTGTTGATCAACTATTTTTAAAGAACAGAGTATAAATTTCCTGGAGGGTGCCAAGGACTGGTTTAAGGATCCCACATCAGAATGTCCTCACATTACCTCCCCTTTTCTCCTAGTGATTGCCTAAACAATTGTCTGAGAAAGTTGAACAGGCCAAATTTTCACTTGGGTGAAGGATTAGTCAGTCATGTGTCTACTAGATCAGAGGGGCTGGAAAACAGAAAATCCAATGACTTAGTTTGCCATGACACAGAAATTTTCATAATTAAAAGCTAAAAAGTAATTTCACTATAGTTAGTGGTCCATTTTAGTCCAAAATAAGCAACTAACTTAGTCAATGATGTTAAAGAATCATCCCAGCGATCAGGCTAAACCCCTTACTGAAAGGAGCAGGGCAGATTCACACCTCTGTTTCATGTTAATAAGTTCATTCTTTATCATTCCACCTCTCCAGTTACAAGAATGAATGAAAGATAAGCAAGGACTTCTTCAGAGAAAGAAATAAAGAATGAATGGGTGCAAATGCAAATGCAGACAAAAATAACAAAATTTAATTATGATACTGATTTACATAGATTCTCAATCTGGAAAGAAGCTATTCTTCCATACCCAGAGTTATCAAGTTTCAAAATTGGCCCAAACTTGCCACTTTTCTTTATTGATGTCAAGCTTAATGTGGGTTTAAGAATATGACTTATTCCCTCATGTTGCCACAAATTGACAGCATGTTTGAGAGTTTCATATTCCACTGCGGTTCTGGAAAGTAAATTTCTTGCTTTCATGAGTAGCCTAGTGTTCTTGTTTAGGGCTAAAATTCTCTGCCAATTCTTTAAGAAGAAATTAGCTGAAGAATAATACCAACCATAGGAAAATATGAGTATGTAACATACTTAATTTAAACCTTCCAAGGAATTTTTGCTAAACCCCTTGGTATCTCTTGTCCTAGCAAACATCTATTCCAGGGTAGTATGACAAGTCTGGAGAATTCTGATTTTAAGCAAGAGACATGATGAATGATTGAGCTCCAGGGAGCAATTCCATCCTCATCTTCCCATAGGATGCAATGAAAAGATATGGAATATATTGGATTTTCACTGTGTTCCTACTGTTAGGAGATATTTACGTAGAGATGCTTTAGTCAAAATTATTTTGAGAATGTTTTGTTAATGATTTCTGTCTGTGCTGGTCTGACTAATAGAACAGAAGGGGGTGGTTGCATTTTCCTTTCCCTTGTACTCTTGTGACACCAATTTCTCACTTGCTTATAAGGTAAATGGATGCTATTCTTACTGACAAATATTGCCTTCTCTATTCTAAAATTTTAAATATAAATTACCAAGTTCTGCCGGGTGTGGTGGCGCACACCTTTAATCCCAGCACTTGGGAGGCAGAGGCAGGCAGATTTCTGTGAGTTCAAGGCCAGCCTGGTCCACATAATGAGCTCCAGGACAGCTGGGGCTACAAGGAGACCCTGTCTCAAAAGGACCAAAAAAAAAAAGACAAGTTCTTTCATGTTTACTGAATTCCTTTTAAGACATGACATCTTCTTTTTTCTTGGTTGAGCTTATTAAACCACTGAATGCTTCTTGGTTATAGGCAGATATATTTAATATGTGGTGGTTAAACAGCTCATTTATTTGGAAGTGGGCTTACATCAGCTCACTGAAACTCAATGGCCAATAGACAATCATCAAAGAGACATGTTCCCCAGATATATGTACAAGTGTTAGGGTATAATCGATCTTGGGCTTTCAGGAAATAATTAACTTTCTTAGGTTCTTTCATGTTTTCATTAGGGATGTCACCATTTTAGACATCGTTTCCCATTTAGTTTTAAGCTTTTATTAAATCTGTCCAGATAATAGGTATTGTGTTTTCTTTGTTGCACACATCTTTCAGAGATTATTCTACATATCTGTCACAAAAATATTGAAATGTTAGATCACTTCCATTCACAAACATTAAGCATATATTGAAACATTCAGTTTTAAATATACAATGCTAAATCAAAGAACAAGTGCTCATAGTCCAAACCCTGCTTTTCTTTCCAGTTCTGCCAACCATTCAGCATGGGCAGCAGGTGCTCAGCACGATTGAAGGCATTCCAATAACTTTACCATGCAAAGCAAGTGGGATTCCCAAGCCGTCTATCATCTGGTCCAAGGTAAATGATACATCTGCTGGCATTCCCTGAGATGCAATGCATGAGGGGACTTGCAAAGTGATCTCTGGAGGCTCGAGCAGAAGAGTGAGGCACGGAAGGTCATGAAGCTAAAACAGGGCTTCACTGAACTGCTGTCCTCTGTGGCTGTGCTGATAAGCTTCAGTGTGCTGGCTGTTCTCCAAGAGACAATATAGATGCATCTCAGAAGGAGCCCTCTGGTGGGCAGGAAGGAGGACATCAATACAGGACATGCTCCTTCCAGAAGAACTAATGCCCCTGTATCTCTTGGCTATCTTGACTGTGAAACAATGAGACTATATAAGAAGTTTGATGGCCCGCCATAGTGTGTGGAGCTGTCCACTAGAGCCCCACTGAACCCAAGAGGGCCAATGGAAGGAGACAGTGGGTAAAGAGGGTCTGCTAGAGCAGCTCCTGACCCACACAGCCTTTACTATAGAAGTGTTTGTGGTTGGGTTGCTGATACAATCCAGGCATCAGGTAGTTGCTTGCACCAAAGACATTTTCTGGTCCCTTCCAAGTGGTATGGCATGACCAGAGATTGTAAGATGCCCGAATAGGGTCATGCATTCCCCTCTACATTTGTGTCATGCTGTCTAGCTTTTACTAGTATTCTTGCAGTGAGGCAACCTCCACTCTCTGTTCCCTCGCTAATGACCATGAGGGTGGCATAACAGAATGAACTATTTGTATAAAAGTAGTTTGTCATTCTAGCTAATTTCATCAATCTGAAAATCTACGAAATACAGAGAAACTAATGCTAACATCTGCATATAAATAAAAAGGATAAGGATTTTATATTATAGACAAGACAGTACAATGTTGAAACTAAGCCCCAAACTGCACAGTATTTGACACTGCACAAAAATGTAATACATACAAAGAAAATGCAGAAATAAAATCTTCCCAGTAGTTTTTGTGCTACGGCCAAACACAGAATTTAAGAATCCGGGCTCAAGGGCATGATGTGATGCCTGGGGTCCCAGTCTGGCTCTCCCTGACTGGATCTTGGCTAACTTCTTCTACTATGATCACTGTGGAAAATGGAGGTTGTAGCAGTACCTGTGTATAAGACCGTGCAAGTGTTAAAATGGTTAACTCATACAAGATACAGCAGAGCCTCACTTCGCATGCACTGCATCACTCCATGGATCCATTCCCACTACTCTGGTTATTCTCTCCTTGTTTTGTAAGCAGCTCTACAATAAAGGAAATATGGTTTGGTGTGGGGGAATATCACTTTTAGCCCATTAAGTTGTCTAATTTTTCTTATAAATAACTCCCTTTAATTAGCATTTTTAAATATAGTTTTTATCCTTGGAGATATTTTTCTCTGTCTTCCTCTTCCAAATATGAAACTGTTCCTTTTATTATTTTCTTTCGAAAACTCCCTCCCTTGTACCTTGTGTTTATAGAAAGGAGAGCTCATTTCAACAGGCAGTGCCAAGTTTTTGGCAGGAGCTGACGGAAGTCTGTATGTCGTGTCACCAGGAGGTGAAGAGAGCGGGGAATATGTTTGCACAGCCACCAATGCGGCTGGCTATGCCAAGAGGAAAGTGCAGCTGACTGTCTATGGTGAGAGCCACCGAGGGAGGTTTCCTTTGAAATTGACTGCCTGTGCCAGAACTCACAATTTCTTTTTAAGTGCAGTTACCCAAAGGTATCTCTGAAGTGAAGCTCTTTCTCAAGTTGATATCGTTTAGACAAACAAGCATACAGACATTTCTACTGCCCACCAAAATTACCTGTGCTTAGATTTTGATTTTAAGGAAAGTAGTTGTAGAATCTTTTGGAAGAATTCTATGGTATTTCCCTAAGAAGGGTGCTGCTACCGCCAACCTTGTGCAGTGAGGCGATCACTTAAAACTCCTGGTGAAGCCAGGCCTCAGCTACGTGCTTGGGTAGCATTCTGCCTCCAGGTATTGGTCCCCATGGCAGATGGAAGGGAGCCGACCTTTTTGTGGTGTGTCGGGAGCAATCACTGAGAAGCTAAGCTCCTTCCTCGTTTTCCTTGTTGCTCCCGCTACAAAAGTATTAATGAGAAATTTTGGATATGCCCTGAAATTTGGGAAAAACTATCTTGTAAGTTACGTGAGAACATTAGAAGTTCACATTTTAATGTAAATGAAACTACTTTGTTTTCAGTGTACTATTTTTCCCTTCCAAATCCCACGTTTATTTTAGTAAGGCCCAGAGTGGTTGGAGACCAAAGAGGACTGTCCCAGGACCAACCAGTGGAGATCTCTGTTTTGGCTGGGGAGCAGGCAACACTGCCCTGTGAAGTGAGGAGCTCACCTCCACCCATCATTACTTGGGCCAAAGAAACCCAACTCATCTCTCCCTTCTCTCCAAGGTAGGAGATCTGGGGTGAATGGCAACACACTGAACCACTGGGACCATATCTGTTCATATTTTCAAATGCATCAAAGCATAACTTGGGGCTGCAGAGATGGCTCAGCAGTTAAGAGCACTTGCTGTTCTTCCAGAGGACCTGGGTTTGATTCCCAGCACCTGCGTGCTAGCCAACAACTATGTATAATTCCAGTTCCAGGAGGTCAGACGCCCTCTTCTGGCCTCTGCAGGCTCTGCACAACACAGGTACACTTAACATACATGAAGGTAAAGCACTCATACACATAAGATAAAAATAATAAATAAAAAAACATAACTTTTAAAATGAGCCAATTCACGTGCACTTCTGAAGTATACGTACCTTGTAAATCATTTCCCAAGATCATAAATACTAAGCCAGCTTTGCCACAGTTCCCACTGCTGCATTTTACAAGGTAGTTATTGAAATGGAACAGATTTGTCTGTAGATTTCTGTTAGCCCCCTGTGTGCAGCACACAGAACTCTGTGGCTCTCAGAGAAGCAATAAAACACAATACACACTGTAATGTCTAGGACTTGACTTTCATTAAACAGTTTTGTAAGTCTTTTTGATTAAACCGTCTATAAATAAAGGCCCATTGAGATGATGTAATTTATAGACTAAGTAATGCACTAAGAAGAATGCCAGAGCTTTTGGAGCACAGCCTTTACGTCATACAGGTATGAGTTTAAACTTATCTCTGTCACTTTGTGCTTACCCTAAATTTTGGCAGTTTTTTTTTCAAGGGACCGCTTTGAATTTCGTGTCTCGTGTTTATACAACAGATGATACTTACCTGAGACACTTATGTGGGATAATGTACATTTGCATCCCCCATCTCTAGGTCTCAATTTCTGTTTGACTTAGCATCAAACTAGAAATTGCTATTTCAATAAGTATTACAGCTTTCCGTTACCATGTGTTAGAATTGTTGCCACATAGCTGTAAAGTATGGATTTGTGTGAGTGTACTTTCTCCACCACTGCTGATGAAAAACAGTGACTACATCATTTTAATATTTGGTTGAAAGAAATACTTTGTTGACATTTTTAAGGTAAAAAATACATAAAGTTGCAAGTCTATGCTTCCGTGAGTAACCCTAATTAAACTAATTGAGTCACACACACACA